CCCTCCCAGAGATCTGCATATCCTCTAAGAACTATCCTGAGTCCCTACCTGCCGGATCTTTGACACCAATCACAGGGCCTCTAAGGGAATCTGATCTTTGACACCATCACTGGATGCCTGCCTAAAGAGAGACCTCCTAGAGAGTTTGGACCACCCAGAGATACAGACATCCAACTTCTGACTGACTTCAGACCACTGGGGGAGTATGAGAGAGAGAGAGAGAGAGAGAGAGAGAGAGAGAGAGAGGGAGGGAGGGAGAGCAAGAGATAGATAGATAGAGAGAGAGAGAGAGACAGAGAGAGAGCACACCTGCACCTATTGGAAGAAGTAATGGCAAGAGAGCAATACAAGAAAAGACCTAACAATAGAAAGACAAGCATGACACCACCAGAATCTAAGGTCTCTACACCAACTAGCCATGAATACCCCAAAGCAGATGAAACATGACTCTTTGCAATAGCCACAAGCAACACAAAGTATCTTGTTACCAAACAAGTAAAAGACCTATATAATAAGATCATTGTGTCTTTAAAGAAAGAAATTAAAGAAGATACCAGAAAATGGAAAGATCTCCCATGCTCTTGGATATGTAGGATAAACATTGCCAAAAGCAATCTACAGATTCAATGCAATCCCCATTTAAATCCCACCACAATTCTTTACTGACCTTGAAAGGATAATAATCAACATTATATGAAAAAAAAAAAAAAAGACGCAGGATAGCCAAACAACCCTATACAATAAAAGAACTTCAGGAGGCATCACCATTCCTGACTCTAAGCTCTAACACAGAGTGATAGTTCTGAAAACAGACTGATATTGGCATACAAATGGACAGGTAGACAAATGGAATCAAATTGAAAATCCTGATATTAACCCACACTGCTTGAACACCTGATATTTAACAAAACAGCTAAAATTATACAATGGGGCAAGGACAGCATCTTCAACAAATGGTGCTGGCACAAATGGATGAGGGTGTGTAGAAGACTGCAGATAGACCCATGTCTGTCGCCATGCACAAAACTCAAGTCCAAATGGATCAAAGACATCAACATCAATCCAGCCACATTGAACCTCTTAGAAAAGAAAGTAGGAGGTACCCTTGAACAAATTTGTATAGGAGACCACTCCAAGGGCAAAGACACTGAGAGCAACAATTAGTAAGTGGGACCTCTTCAAACTTAGAAGCTTCTGTAAGGCAAAGGACACAGTGGACAAGACCAAACGGCACCCCACAGACTGGGAAAAGATTTTCACTAATCCTATATCCGACAAAGGGCTGATCTCCAAAATATACAAAGAACTCAAGAAACTAGTCAACAAAACACCAAATAACTCTATTAAAAATGGGGTACAAAACTGAAGAAAGAATTCTCAATAGAGGAAATCAAAAAGACTGAAAAACACTTAAGAATGTGCTCCACATCCTTAGCTATCAGGGAAATGCAAATCAAAACAACTTAGAGATACCATCTTACCCCTGCCAGAATGGCTAATATTAAAAACACCAATGACAACTTATGCTGGAGAAGATGTGGAGAAAGGGGAACAATCCTGCAGTGCTGGTGGGAGTGCAAACTCATACAGCCATTTTGGAGATCAGTATGATGGTTCCTCAGGAAAATGGGAATTAGTTTACTACAAGACCCAGCAATCCCCCTTTTAGGCATATACCCAAATGATCCACATCCATGCAACAAAAACATCTGTTCAGCTATGTTCATAGCAGCACTATTTGTAATAGCAAGAACCTGGAAGCAACCTAGATGCCCCTCAATTGAAGAATGGTTAATGAATATGTGGCACATCTACACAATGGAATACTACTCTGCTGAAAAAAATAATGGTATCTTGAAATTCACAGGCAAGTGGATGGCACTTGAAGAGACCATCCTGAATGAGGTAACCCAGTCACAAAAATAGGAACACAGTATGTACTCACTCATATATGGTTTGTAGACCTAGAGCAAAGGATCACCAGCCTATAATTCACACCATCAGAGGAACTAGGATACAAGGTATATTCTAAGAGATTCATATAAAGTCCCTCACGGAACTGTGAAAGGACAAGTCCCCCAGAGCACAGGGGAAGTAGGGGGGCAGCAAATGGAGAAAGAAGTAGGAGAAAGAGAGGGGGAGGATAGGAAAACACATGTGACTACGAAGATTGAGTCCGGGTAGGAATAGAAGACAGGAGAGAGAGAGAGAGAGAGAGAGAGAGAGAGAGAGAACATAAAAGAGGGAGCCAATATTGGTTTGAAGATAAAACTGAACCCAAAGAAAGGTCTAGAGACCTACAAGTCTGTTGCGAACTAACAATCTGAGCATTTGTGGAAAGGCTAACATAAATGCCCTTCCCAGATAGTGAGATCAACAACTACCTTATCCATGGAGCTCTCATCTAGTACCTGTTTTCAACAGAAGCAAACACCCATACATAAACACTGTGTCAAACTAGAACCCAGATGCAGATGGAAAGGACAAGACCAGGCTGTAGAAATACATGGAGACAGCTTACTGATTGCTCGGAAGCCAGCATGGGACCGACTCAGGCCCCCCTGAATATGGGGCCAGAAGGACTGAGCAGTCTAAGGGACCACAGACAGTGGAACCAGGATGTATTCCTGGTGCACAAAAGGACCTTGCGGACAATTCCCCCATGGAGGGATACTGCCTCAACATAGAGACATGAGAGAAGCCCTAGTCACTACTTCAAATGACCTGTCAGTTCTACCTGACCCCAAATGGATGGCTTTGCCCTACATATGGATTTGGGAGGGGAGGGTGGTAAGGGTAATTGTGAGAGGGCAGAGAGGGTAAAATTGAGGGAGGGTGAAAGGTAGGTAAGGAGGGAGGGAGAGGGAACTGTGATCAAAAACAAAAAAGAATAAAACAAAAAAGAAAACACCTACTTTTCAATTAGTTTTCAAGTGTGTATTTTGTAAAATGTAAAAAATAAAAAAATGTAGTTCTTTTAATTAAGATTTTAATTTTCCACTAAGAACATTAAATTAACAAGATAAAAGACAAGGAACTAGTATTCCATAGGTTCTTAATATGTCTCAGAATTGTGAGGCTTCCAGGTGTAAGGCTTGTTTTGCATAATGGACAAACTTGTAATGTGTTGTGTTCATGCAGGAATAATATTAAATCGCCGGACTGACTTTTTTCTCACACACCTACAACATGTTCTTCCCAAGGAAGGCAATGGCAATATAAGATTTTCAAATGAATGAGAAATGCATCAAAGAAATAAAAAGAAAATGACATGAGGTTATTTTTTTTCCCTTATGTGTTATGGATTTCGTAGAGCTTCCATTTGGTTTTCTACAATTTTTAAGGTGTTTCTCCTCCTTAAAAACTGTTTTCCAAATTGTCACAAAACTAGCATATAGAGTTTTGTTAATTTAATTCTCTTTAATATCTTACTTTAAATTTGTGCTGTACATTCTAGAGAATACTTTTTAAAGTACATATTTTTTTTGGAATGAGTGAATTTCTTTAGTATGCAACAAGACTCAGTAAAACAACAAATAACAGAATAGGTAGACAGATCAATTATATTTGTTGATGTTATATGGATGGTAGACAGACAGAACACATCACCAAATCTAGCCTTCAAATAGCCAGCCAAAAGCAACTAGAATAATATCTGTAACAAATCCAGATGGAGATCCCAAAAGACATAGTAAAGAGTCCCTATGAGTGAGATTTACAATTAAAAGTACAGGAAGGGGATGAGTTGCTGTTTGGTGATAAGGGTGATAAGGGAGGATGGGAAGGTGAGGGAACTGGGATTGACATGTAAAACAACTTTGCTTAAAATTTAAATAGAAAAGGGGAAAAAGTATAGTTATCAACTGATTAATATAACATTATCAGATTGGAAATAAACATTATCAATCCGAATCTGGGGTTCTGTGGCAGTCATCTACTGTTCCCAAATGAGCTTTCTCTCCAGGGATGAGCTTTTATCGTCTTTCCCCAACTACAAGCACATTTATTTCATAATATAAACAGGAGTAATATCTATGGAAATGGTCAACCTTCTAGTGTTTCTCAAAGACACAATGTAGCTATCTGTTCTTTTCTTCCATCCATGTTATAGTGTTATGAAAGCATGACCATCTTTGGGGATTTTAGTAGATACTTTGAGAAAACCATGCTTATCTATGAAATGATGTAGGATTACACCTCTTTCAAAGACAATCTCAGTGAGCACCAGCAGCACTTGACAACTTACCAACATAACATGTTATAAAATTGGTGTTTTATGAATTATTGATAATATTACTTCTTATCTAATTGTGTTTTTCTGAGATAATTGAAAAATTATTTGCAAAAAACTATTAGATATTATTCAAGAAAAGGCACCATGAGTATAAAATGTTAGAAAATAAGTATTAATGATAATTAATAGTATTGTGTTTACTATGCTTATATTTAAGCATATTTCATCTAGTATTCTATCATGTGCACCTAAAGCTACTGTGTATATTTAGAATCTTAGGAAAATTAAGCTTAAGCATTCAAAGATTCATTAATCATGTCATCAATAGGTAGTTAATTTATTCGCTATACAAGAATGATTCATAAGCTCTTGATATTGTGTCAAGTTATTTTTTCCATGGCATAACTAAAATTTAGTATGGTGGATTTCTGTTAAATAAAGGCTTAGGGGCTGCAGGAATTGCTCAACTCTTAAAGGCTAAGCACATAACCAAAAACATAAGAAAGACTTATACTTGCATATTTATTTTATTTCTATACTACATGCTTTCCAAAACATTATTTATTTCAACCATGACTAATATATTTCCTGACTCCAAAATATGATAAAGTTTGGAATCCATATTCCTATGAATGGTCACTCTAGTGATTGTGTAAAGGTAGCTGAACATATATAGACATTAGGCTGACAGTGTGAGTGTACTTAGAGATACAAAGCAAGGGAGATCTTAATATAGAAAAGAAAACAATAGTTTAATTATTGAGTTTCAATGTGAATTTAAGTGCCTTGAGTTCCCCCACTTCTTTATAACCCGGCTGACAGCATTTTTCACTTCTTTATTTCTGAGACTATAAATGAGTGGATTCAGCATGGGGATCACAATAGTATAGAAAACAGAAGCCACTTGATCCTTTCCCAAGGAATAGGACTTACTTGGCTTCAAATAAGTAAATATTAAAGCCCCATAGAAGATAGTGACTCCCAAGAGATGAGAGGCACAGGTAGAGAAAGCTTTGTGCTTTCCTGAAGTGGAATGGATCTTCAAAATAGTAAAGAGAATGGACACATAGGATGCAGATATTGTAATAAGAGACACCATTAAGGTGAAACCAGCAAAGATGAATATAATGATTTCAATGTTATGTGTGTCATTGCAAGACAGTGCTAAAATTGGAGATGTGTCACAAAAAAAATGATGGATTACCTTGGATCTGCAGAAATGTATGGTGCTCATACAAAGGATATTAACAGTGGAGTCCATAGTTCCAATCATATAGCAACAAGTAAGGAGGGTCTTGCAGACTCTTGTGGACATGATAACTGGATATTGTAGAGGGTTACAAATCGCTACATATCTATCATAGGCCATTGAAGCAAGAAGGAAACATTCTGCAGCAGCTAAGAGGACAAAAACATACATCTGAGTAAGGCAGCTGGTAAAGGAAATAATCTTGGTGGAAGTTAGCAGATTCTCTAAAGTTTTAGGTGTGATGACAGTTGAATAACTGAGATCAAGGAATGACAGGTGGGTTAGGAAGAAATACATAGGAGTGTGAAGTTGGACATCTAGACGAATAATCAGTATCATGCCCATGTTTCCCAGCACAGTGACCATGTATATCAGAAGAAACATCACAGAGAGGACCAGCTGGATCTCTTTGGAATCTGTTAATCCCATTAGAATGAAGTCAGGCTCATTTGTGTAATTCCAAGTGTGCATAGTCAACAACCCTAAAACAAATAAGAAATCAAAGGTAATCTCAGCTTGAACAACTTAACAAAAATTTTTATTTAAATATACAACCTGGTATTTTTATAGTTTTGGGTTGGCTCAATACTGATATTTCTTCTATATTCTAAGGATAAAGAAAATTGACAGGTAGTAACCATTCATATTTGGCTAGAATATGTATGATAGATGACATATACTTTTCAATTACCATGGCAGTATTCTAAATGATTTCTTTTAATGGTACCTTAATTAATATAGAATATTTGTAGGTAGTACTGGCATGCATTCACTTTAAATGAAGAATCTCGAAAGGTCAAACAATTTGTAAGAATTCAGTATAAATGATGCTGCCTCTTTTTCATTTTCTGTAGATTTTGGCTCAGTGGAGCTTGAATATGATACTGTATCCTGTATATAACTAGTCATTAAACTCTAATTACTATATACTATGAGCAAATTATCTTTTGTTTAATTATTTTTGATGTCATTTAAAACCAACTGCAATTAGATTTTACTTTTCATTGATTTCAATAGGGAACTTGAAAACATAAATACTTTCTCTTCTTGTTAATGCAACATGTATCTTCTAAAATTACCTTCATCATGCATAGACTCTTATTCCATCAACTCTCTGTGTACAATTGATATTTACTTTGATAAATCATAAATGATAAATGCTTACTTGTTTCTTCCATAAAGCCCTAATTTCATCCTAACAGATCTCAACTTTGCCAGTACTTACAATGAGCCAAAGTTTCTGAATGCAAAACAACACCAACAAAGTAAATGTATAAACCTTTCAATAATACATCCAAAGTGGTGCTAATTGTAAATATTTCTTGTGAATAATATATGAAATCCAATTAAAGACATGAACAGTTCTGTACTGCAGCATTTATTTCCCATGTGCTCAATACTTTTGCATATTTGCCCATTCATTTTTTAAGACAAAGTTAAGTCACCCTAGAAATTATTCTTGGATCTCTACAAAACGGCAATTTTCTCAGACTGATATGCTTTAAAAGCATCTCAGGAAGCTACTGTGAGCATAAGCAGAGCAGGATAGGACTTTTCTCTCTGGCAGTATATAAGGACATTGAGCATCATTTACCACATGGTCTTCCTTAGGGACCAATTTTCTATAGTGTTATTTGGCATGCTTTCAATGACCAAAGTTCAAGGTTTTGGTTTCTCCAACAGAGCCTGATGAAAAAGATACCTATGTTCAATGTGTCTTGTTTTTTTATTGATTAAATTTAGAACACATATTTTAAACTAACAGTAATTAATTTCAAGAATGTATGGATTTTTAAAGTATATTATTTAGGTAATAAATGTCCATATAGGAAAATTCTCACTACTATGGATCATAACAAAATATCATTCATACATGCACATATACTTTTAAAGTAACTATCAGTGACAGTCTCAAGGATAAAGTGAATTTTTACAGGAGAGAATATTTAAATTTAAAAGTATTATTCTGTCCTTAAATGTAATAGGTATTTAATAAAAGCATATATATATATATATATATATATATATATATATATATATATATATATCCCAGTTTTCAAAATCATTTTCTTCTGTGTAAAGCACAGTTTTTGTCTCTCTAGCATATTTTCATAATTATTACAATATATATTCATTTTTTCTACTTTGCTATTAGAGTTTTATGTACCATGGTACTTCTTGTGCTTACATCTTACAAAACCTTTAATTTCATTTATTTTGTATGGATAGGCTTCAGTCTGCACTAAGTGAACTGAACAGTCCCAAACTGATAATTCTCTTTTTTTATTTGGAGACTTGACCTACTTTAGCAACATATTTCACTTGCACTAATTCTTTCATTTATTCAGTGAATTTTATTGTTATTTTATTTTGTAAAACCACACTTGGAAAATACTTAGACAAAGTCTGATCTGAAACTAATAAAAATTCTACAATTAACTGACTGAAATAAAGCTCATTTCGTATAGTCTTAATCATATCAAATGGACTCTTTAATAAAAGTGAAATAAGGTGCATATGATTTTTAAATATCTAAATATTTTATTTAACAATTTTATTTTGCTAGAAAAGGAAGTATTCAGTGAGAGTCAGAGTGAAAGATTGTTGTAGGTTTTATCTTGATTCAAAATGAAATCAATATTCCTGAATAGGTTTAAATGACTCCTTTGACTTGGACCACAAGGGATGGTGACATGCATAGTAACACTATAGGGTGTCAGATATAAAAATGAAAAAGAACCTAAGGCTGAGTGATGAGGGGCATCCAGCCCTTGGAGATTCTCATAAAAATGAAAGAAGGCTAGCTTATCTTAATTTTAGGACTGCCATGTATGGATTTTGCAGGTGCTTGTGTGTGTGTGTGTGTGTGTGTGTGTGTGTGTGTGTGTGTGTGTAATTTAAATGAAACATTTATAAATATCACTACTTTGTATACCAAATTCAAGAATTTTGGTTTATTTTTTTTTTTGTCATTAATAGGGTCTTACCATGTAGAACATATTGGCCTTTGACTAAGCTTTCTCTTGCATCAGCCTCCTAAGCGATGAGAATACAGGTACGTTCCTCTGTCTGGTTCAGCAGTGTTTCTAATGTCAGTGCAGTAGATTACGAAGTAAATCATGAAGAAACACATCTCCCCAAATTAGCACAGTGATAATAAAACTCAGAGATATGGACACTTAATATGATATTTCAGAATCTCCATTTATGTTTAAAATGCTACTAATTTATAGATAAAATAAGTCAGGGGATAGTTTTCACCTGAAATTAAAACCACTGATTGAGTAAAAATATAAGCTAGATTGGGTTCTTATATATTTCCCCATTAATTCTATAATATGTGATTAGTCTGATATATAAATATAGTGCTGTAATATATATTACAACTATGTGCTTAATAAAATTTGGTTTTATATCTGTATAGGATTATACATTTTTCAAGTTTGAGTGAATGTGTGCATTTGTGTATGTTCAATGCAAATTATATACATATATTCATATGTATGTAATCACTCTTGTTTTCCCCTGAATGTGACTCTATTCAGAATAACATTACTTAAAGATGCAATGAGATAAAACAAGAATGTCTATCTAAGCCTTCATTCAAATTTTTGGTATCTGCATAAGATACAGCAATTTATAGAGAGAAGAATATATGGAGACAGTGGGAATAATTTGATATTGAAAACCTCAGAGAAAAGCCTTGGGAGAAATCAACTTACACACCCCAGTTTGGCATGTCCAACCTCCAGAAGGGTGGGGAAAATATGACTATTCTTTAAGTAGTTTTTTATATGGCATTCACTTACTTCAAACAGCAAATAAATACAAATAATATTAGTATGTATATGAATACGTGTGTATAGATGAATATGAGTACATGAACTGAATAAGATAGAAATAGGGAATGTTTTTTTCCATTTGTAAAAATTAAGTCCAGTGATAACTATGGTCTTTATTTTTGTATTGAAAATAGATCCTTCTCTCATATAATACGTCCCAACCACAGTTTTCTCTTCCTTGACTCCTCCCTGTTTTCCCCACTTCCCCTTTCCTCCAGATTCACTTCCTCCCCCCATTTCCTGTCAGAAAAGAACAAGCCTGCAAGAGACAACAAAACATAACAAAACAAGATATAATAATGCAAAGGAGCTTTTATAGAAGCTGGAACCCAATAGGAAGACAAGTGTCCCAACAGCAGGGAAAATGAGTCAGAGACACACGTGTTCCCAGTGTTAGGAGTCCCTCAAAACCACCAAGCTAACAGCCACAACCTACACAGATGACCTTCTGTAGACCTTATAGGCCCTGTTCTTGCTTCTTCAGTCTCTGTTAGCCCATGTAAGCCATTAGTTCATTCAGTGGGCTGTGTTCCAATAATTTCCTCCATCTCCACCGACTCCTACAGTCTTTTATATCCTTCTTCTGGGCTCCCCGGTCTCTAAAAGCGTAGCTGATGGAGACTTCCAATTTAGAGTCTCTACATATAATGTCTGGCTGTGGATCTCTATACATACATTCATTTGTTACCCTGGGAAGCCTCTCTAATAATTACTGACAACAATCTATGAGTAAAGCAGAATATCATTAGGGATCAGTGTTTTGTTATGATTGTTTTGCTTTTGGGACAGTAATGTTTGTTTCTACTCTAAGTCCCTAGGTCTCTGGGTTATCTTGCCTCTTGTTCCTCCTGGCCATTCGGGCAGGATAGCGCATAGTCACCCTCTTGTGAGAGGAACCTCAAGCTAAACTAGACATTAGTTGGCCACTCTCACAAGTTGTCCCACCATTGCCCCAGTGCATCTTGCAGGCAGGGATTATTGTTTGTCAAGGGTTTCTTTGCTTGGTGCGTATTCAGATTTCTATTCCCATAGCCTGCAAAGTTTATGCCCCGAGAGACTAGAAGTTAGATGTGAACGCTCCCTGAAGGCACCAGCTCAAAGTCACCATATTCAGTGTGGTATGTGTATTTTGTCCTTGCCAATGGGGTCAAGCTGTCCATTTTTTGAGAGCAACCCTCTGGCCTAGCATCAGCATAGGTTGCTTAGCCATTGGAAGTTTTGCCTGGCTGGCTACAAGACAGTTCAGGCTCCTTATCCTTTATTACTAGACCTCACTAAGGTCACATTCATATATTTCAGGTAGTTTCCTTTCCAGTAGATGCCACATCATCCCTCAAATACTGCACAATTCCTGCTGTCCCTCTCTACACATTCTCTCATCTAACTTCTCCCAATCCATCCTTCTCCTATCTGCACCAGTTCCCAGTAACCTGTAAAAATCGATTTTATCCCTTTCCCAGGGAGATTCATTCATGTTCTCCAGAACGCTCATCTTTACATATTCTCTCTGGATCAGTGGATTATGGATTGACTATTACTTACTTAACAGTTAATGTTCACTTATAAGTGAATACATACCATATTTGTCTTTTGAAGTTCTTGGTTACCTCATTAAGGATGATGATTTTC